GCTTGAGTAATGCTGTAGATACTACAGAGAAGAGACTGCAACAGAATGCCTTAGAGAACTTACTGTTTAAAAGAACCACTGGACTATACAATACTGAGTGAACACTGACTTCTAAAAAAAATGGAGTCTCAGTCTGAATAGACCCAAGTCTGATCACATGGTCTGGAGTCCCTCCCACAACCTCAAACAACATAGAGTTAAGGGAAAACTGCATATTAATACACTTATATACAATATAGTAAGCAATCTGAATCATATACCTAACAAATAACCAGTATAAGAGGTTTGTAGAAAGTTGCTATTTCCAATATAAGGACAGTGTAAAAAAGGGGCCAGTGATATCCAGCCCCCTTCCACATTGCCCCTATATCCCAGAATCCGATCCCAGATCATCTTATTTTATTTATTTCTGGTATTTCTATCCCATTACTTCTCAACTCCCGAAGGGGGAATCAGGACAGCTTACATTTGGCAGCAATTCGATGCCACTACATATAACAAAGCAATATAATAACTATTAAAACAATAAGTTAAACATTCATTAAAACATCTTCTTACCCCAGATTATCTGGCAATGTAGACTCATATCAGATAATCTGGGATCATATCCTGGGATATAGGACAGTGTAGAAGGGTCCCCAGAAACAACTGCATCCATCTAGGGCTGGATCTACACTATCATATAAAATCCAGATTATATGATTTGATAATCTGGATCATATAGCAGTGTAAATCCAGCCTTAGGCAGGATATTAATGATAATAATCTCAAAATATTTATATTTTGTTGATATTATGCTTGATAGATTAAATAAAAATAGAACTCCTTAAAAGTTTGAAGATTAAGGTCCCTTCCACACATCTAAACACAATATCACACATTTCTGCTTCGAACTGGAATATATGGCAGTGTGGACTCAGATAAACCAGTTCAAAGTAGGTATTGTGGGATTTTCTCCTTGATATTCTGGGATATAGGGCTGTGTGGAAGGGTCCTTAGATGAGTATTTGCAAGGGTCTTAAGAAAAATGAAGTGATTTATTTCCTCTCCTGTGATATTGGATTTGGGATGTAGGGCTGTGTGGAAGGGCCCTGAGTCCACACTGACATATATTCCAGTTCAAAGCAGAAAATGTTGGATTTTATTCAGCTGTGTGGAAGGGACCCCAGTGTTTCCCAGTCTCATGTGTTTTGGACTTCAACTCCCAGAATTCCCAGTCACTGGCCAAGGCGGCTGAGGTTTCTGGGAGTTGAAGTCCAAAAGCCTGTTTCAAGCTCAGTAGAGGAGAAATACGGAGTCCCGTTGCATGCTGGGCGTTGTAGTGTAGTTTGGGTGACGGCGGTAGAGCGTGCCGGTCCGCGCGTGCGCGAGTCATTTCAAACCAACCAATCCCCTCTCTCGGCGTTCCGAGGCTGGTGGGAGTTGGTTGCGCGCGCTCCGTTGGTCGAGGAAGAAGGCCGTGGCGAGGCGAGCGAACGAGTGAGGAAGGCCTCTAATTTTGAAACCCTGGAGGACAAGGTAATGGCCGACCCCCTTCTTAAGAACGCCTCTATTTCCCCACCTTTTGCTGTTATTTCCTTTTGTGAGGGAGGTGGGAAAGCTATGTCGCTTTGCCTTGTGGCTCCGGGCTTTTCCAGGCCTATGAAGGCAAGCATGAGGTGCCTTCTCAGTCTTGTTTCTTAGGGCCCTTCCACACAGCCATATAATCCAGAATATCAAGGCAGAAAATCCCACAGTATCTGATTGGAACTGGGTTATCTGAGTCCATACTACCATATAACTGGGGGCCCTTCCACACAGCCCTCTATCCCATAATATCAAGGCAGAAAATCCCACAATATCTAATTTGAATTGGGTTATCTGAGTCCATACTGCTACATAAATGGGGACCCTTCTACACAGCCCTCTGTCCCAGAATATCAAGGCAGAAAATCTCACAATGTCTGATTTGAACTGGGTTGTCTGAGTCCACACTACTATATTACTGGGGGTCCTTCCACACAGCCCTCTATCCCAGAATATCAAGGCAGAAGATCCCTCAATATCTTATTTGAACTGGGTTATCTGAGTCCATACTGCTACATAAATGGGGGCCCTTTCACACAGCCCTATATCCTAGATTATCAAGGTAGAAAATCCCACAACTGGGTTATCTGAGTCCACACATAGATAACGTGGGATTTTCTGCGTTGATATCCTGGGATATAGGGCTGTATGGAAGGGCCCTCACTTCAAACGAAATAATGTGTGTTCTTCTGCCTTGATATTCTGGGTTATATGGCTATGTGGAAAGGCCCTTAAGGGCAGCTTGGGTTGCTATTTATACTGGTCCTTTCCAGGCCACACCCATTCTCTCTTCCTTCCCTCTCTTCCTACTTTGCTTCCCATTTTGGGTGCATCTACTCACTGTACAGTTAACTCAGTCAGATACGACTTTAACTGCCATGGTTCAATGCTGTGGACTCCTTGAAGGGGTAGATAATAATAATAATAATAATAATAATAATAATAATAATTTATAGCCTGCTTTTCTCCCTAAGCAGTGGTTCTCAATCTGTGGGTCCCCAGATGTTTTGGCCTACAACTACCAGAAATCCCAGCCAGTTTATCAGCTGTTAGGATTTCTGGGAGTTGAAAGCCAAAACATCAGGGGACCCACAGGTTGAGGACCACTGCCCTAACAGAACCGAAAGCAGCTCACAACATAATACAATACAGATGAAAGCATATTTAACATAAAATACAAGACAAAAATCATGCAAAGCATAATAACACCCAGAAATGAGATACAAATAAATACTAAGCATTAAAAACATTCAAAACCAATTAAACTATTTTGGAAACTCATAAATTAAATACTATATTTTGCTAAGCTCAGTGCAAATCAACCTGTGCTATCATTAGCAATTGAATTCATTCATCAAAAGCTTGCTTGAACAGGTAGGTCTTCAACCGGTTCTTGAAATATAACAGGGAAGGGGCAGTTTTAATCTCAATGGGGCTGAAGCTGACGGTAAGCACTCCTGGCTGTTGCATCTACCTGGGCTGACATTTGGAGAGACAGATCCAGGAGCACTCCCAAGCTGAGAACACAGTCTTTCAGAGGGAGTGTAACCCCATCCAGAACTGGTTGATACCCCCCCCCCCCCCAGATTATAACCCTTGATGGCAAACACCTCAGTTTTGTCTGGATTCAATTTCAATTTGTTTGTCCTCATCCAGCCCATTATTTCCTCCAGGCATTCATTCAGAGGGGACACACTATCCTTAGCCGAATCTGTTTTTTGAAGGCATGGAGAAATATATTTGGGTGTCATCAGCATACTGATAACATCCCGCCCCATGTCTATGGATGATCTCACCCTATGGCCTCATGTGAATATTAAAGAGCATTGGGGATGGAATGGCACCTTGTGGGACACCACATAACTTCTTTTTGGAGGAGCAGCTATTCCCAAGCACCACCATCTGGAACCTGCTTGAGAGGTAGGACCGGAAAAACTGCAGCATATTTCCTCCGATTCCCAGCTCCTCCAGGCGTTCCAGAAGGATACCATGGTCAATAATATCAAAGGTTACTGAGAGGTCTGGAATCACCACCGAGGACATACTCCTCATGTGAGTGTTGAGATGGAGATCATCCACTAAGGTGACCATAGTAGTCTCAACTCCGTATCCTGGTTTGAAATAGGTCAAGAAAGTGTGTGTCATCCAAGACTGTCTGGAGTTGGAGGGCAACTGCCTTCTCAATCACCTTGCCCAAAAAAGGAAGGTTGGACACTGGTCTGTAATTGTTAAGGTCCAGGGGATCTAGGGAGGGCTTTTCCAGTAGTTGTGTAACTAGTGCTTCTTTTAAACGGGATGGAAAGTTTCCCTCTCTGAGAGATGCATTAATAATTTTTTGTATTTGAGTTCGGACTGCATCTTTTCCCTGGAGAACCAGCCAAGATGGACAGGGATCAAGAAGCCTTCCCTGCTTGCCCTAGAAGCTTGACAACATCAACAGTACTCATCAGTTGAAACCAATTAAAGTGGTGTCAGGCTGCGTTAATTTTACAGATCATGACACCTTCACTTTCTGATGGTTCAAAGATCCTAAACTTTGTTTCATACACAAAAGTATTTAAAAGATCATATATAAAATTGTCTTCAGGAACTACGTGTATAGGATGTATATGTTATCCAAAGCGCTCGCTCCCCTCTCTATATATATCCAAAGCAACAACAAAGTTCTGTGAGCTCCACCAATGGAGTCTGTTGTGCAGTGTGAGCTCCATATCTATGGATTAATATCATTTCTCCACATCTGACAAAATATGTCACTTCTCAGCATTTTCTAGATCATCCAGATTGTGTGGTATTCTCAGACTCAAAGTCCTTTATTTCAGTACAGTTTGCTATTATCTGCAGTTTTATGTATACACCCAAAGTTCAAGAATGTATCTCCCATGGATACTTCTTTACTTTTAATAGTAAGATGCCTTTGAGTCCCAAGGCTGTTGTTGCAGAATTCAAACATCAACAAAAAGTCACATATTACATAATAAGCCACATACAGGGTGAGGCAGCATAACTTCCTTTTTCAAAACTTAATAAAATTCTGAATCAGATTTTTTTTATAATGTAAGCACATATCTAAAGTTTTGTTTTACGTAGTTTTGAAGATCAAATTAGATAGGTGACGTCCCCCATTCTCCATTCTCCATACACTGAGTAAACCGATTTCTGGCATTTGTCATGACGCTTGCCAGCATAGCAGGCGTTATGTTGGCAATTTCTTCCTGGATGTTGGTCTTCAAATCTTGTAGGGTCCTTGGACGGTTCACATAAACATGAGATTTCAAAAAACCCAATAGAAAAAATCACAATGGGCCAAATTTGGAGAGCGGGCCAGCTACTCCAAATCCTCTCAAAAAGTAGGCCTCAACGGCAACAGTACGCTCCTTACTGTTCCAATGCATGATGGCGACTGAACTGTGTCAGGACAAAACTTTATACTCCCGCCTCTCGAACGAGACCACTAGCGCTCCGCTACGTCTTCAACCGACTGAATGGTGCACATTTTAAAAAAGGAAGTTATGCTGCCTCACCCTGTATAATTTAAGACACTTTGTATAACTCAGCTGTATAAAATCCACTTTGAACTGGATTATATGGCGGTGTGGACTCAGATAGTCCAATTCAAAGCAGATATTGTGGATTATCTGCCTTGGTACTCAGGGTTTATATGGCTGTGTGGAAGGGTCCTCTAACAGAGTTTCTCAAACTTCTCCTCCAGATGTTTTGAATTTCAGCTCCCACAATTCCTAACAGTTGGTAAACGCGCTGGGATTTCTGGGAGTTGAAGCTTATTATAAAAAAATCCAAAGAACTTTTGTGATAAAAATATTGATGTAATTTAGTCTTTTATAAATTTGCCTATTTAGAAATATCTGTTCAGACAATACTTTCCAAATCTAGAATTAACTTTTGTACAACCCTTATTTAGATGACTGGGTCAAATGAATTTAAGTTGAACCAACCACCGGAAGATGGAATCTCATCAGTGAAATTCAGTCCGAACACATCTCAATTTTTGCTTGTTTCATCTTGGGACACTTCTGTTCGATTGTTTGATGTTCCTGCCAACAGCATGAGGCTCAAGTATCAACATACAGGAGCTGTACTTGACTGTGCCTTCTATGTAAGTTTTTTTTTACCATTTGGTGGCTTTGACTCCTATAAGTATGAAGTGGAAATAGAAAATACAGTTGATTCACCTGTTAGATAAAGCTTTAGGCTGGATTCCATGAAACAATTTGGATTTATTCTAGCAGGGGGTTGTTGCTTAAGATGACCTCAACTCCTAATTGGTTATGAGTCTTTCTGGATCCTTACCTTTGTTGAATTATTGGAGCATACCGATGCATCTTGAATTTGTTGTGAAAGTAGTGTTTTGTTTTATTTAGTATGAGAAAGGGAAATAATTGCTATTGCTACTTTAGTTTCCTTTTAAAAACATTTAGTTCAGATTTTTGGTAATAAGCAAAAACAACAGATTTGTTTGGTTGTATCTGTTCTGATGCACATTAATTTTACATTTTCTTAAGGAACTGAGAGAATGATTGGTTTAGTTTAGATTTATAAGATTCTGTTTGTTCAACTAGATTATATCCACAGATTTCTTGAAGAAGTAAAGCCAACCACTTGTAGAGGTTGGCTGATAAGAGTTGCCAGAGGAGCTGGCTAATGCAGTTGTAGTTGTTGTAAACAATTTTTAAAAAGAGGGTAGTGTACCTGTTCTACTAAAAGGAAATTCTTATGAGACCTTTGTCTTTAATTGGAATTTACCAGTTTCTTTCATATGGGACTTGGATGCACTGTTTTGCTCTGGTTCTGTCTGGCTAAAACTTCCTGGGAGACTCTTTGGTCTCGTAAGTTCTCATTTATAGGGTTCCTCCAAAATCAGCGTTGCATCTTATATTTTTAAACATTTGCTCAATTTCTTATGAGGGAAGAGATTTAGAATTTGGGAATTTGGTTTTATCAGTAAATTGGAAGTGGTGGAAATCTTGAATCACTGTCTGGATACAGTGAGGGATTCCATGTGAGAGATAACAATTAAGGTTAATTCAGGCAAGGCAGAAGAACTATTTATTTTATATCCAATCTTTCTCCCGATATGAGACCCAAAGTGACTTCTATTGGTCATCAAAAAAGCCAATGGAGAACCAGGGGTATGGCTTTGTATGGATGCATTTATACTGTATGTAAATCATCAGTTATGCAGTTTAGGTATAGTCTTGGATCGGTTGTTGCTGTTGAAGGCTTATATGATTTCATCTGTGCCCCCTTGGTGGGGAAAGGCAAATTTGTCCTCAGTGATCTATGTCTCTCTGTTAGATTAGTGTACTATGTTCTATGCATCTGCCCAGTGGGAGAGTTAAGAAATTATAACTAGTGTAAAATGCAGTAGCTAAAGTATGTATCACTGCGCCTGAACTAAGTGAACTGTTTTCCGGTTTGTTTCTGAGTTCAAGATACTGATTTTGGCCTTCGAAGCTCTTAACAACTTGGGGGGATATCTGAGACATCTATCTTAAACATACAAGTTACCTGAAAGTTTGTCTCTTTCTTAATGTCACTGCCTAGAATTTGAGACTTTCTGAAAGTTTTGCCTTCAGGTTGCCAAAAATCAGAAACAACTTGAAAATGCACAGCAAATAGGGTTCCTGTTGCACAAAGTCCAAAGTATCAGCAGCTCAGAATAGCTGGAATTCTGTCTCTTGTTAGAGTCTAAGAATTTCATAGAGTTCTTACTGTTTTTCCAACCATTCTAACAGACTAGGTTAGCGGCTACATAAGATAAGGAATCTAAATCCAGTTGTTAGTTCCAGCTAGTGTGGTTCCATTGAATTAATGCGATTTACATTTCTGTTGATTTGAGTGTTCATCAACTCATTTAATGGGTCTATTTCTAGTTGTATTTACCAGTGTGGTGCAGTAATTTGAACTTAATTTGAACCACTCTCAGCCATGGTAATCTACTGGATGAGTTTAGGAAGCCTCAGCCTTTGAGGAAGGCAAAGATAAACCATTCTAGGTTCATCTTGGATTTGAAATGACTTGAAGGTACACAAAAATAATTTTGGTGTCTGGGCTTTTTTTGTGACAGCACCTCAACTGTGATACTGCCTCCCAAAAAAAGTGAGGCGTATTCCATCCTTAACAAAAGTAACGTATATTCCATCCTTAATATATTGTTGACAGCCAGTCAAAAACTATTATTTTGGCAGAGCGCTGCCTTTTAAATCTGTGTGGCTTGCTTCTTTAAAAATATGCCTATCATTTCTGTTTTTATACTTTTTACTGTATTCCTCCCTTTAGGGACCTACCAGCCAAAAAAGTCAATTAAAATAATAATTAAATGTTTAGTTAAAATCTAGGGGTTAGTAAGATAGGTGGCTTGTCAGAATTTAAGAACTTAATTGGCAGTCCTTCCTAAAAACAACTGTGAGTGAAAATCTATAAAGAAATATGGGAAATCAGTGACATTGTTTTTTGATTATTATATTAACTTCATATGTAACCATGTAGCCTCTATATTATTTCTGTGCCTCAGGATCTCATCTAGATTAATTATTTTTCAGGCATTGAAAACACACTAGACAATTTTATTTTTGGATCTTTTGTCATACTGTGGCCTAGTATTTAGAAAAAGTCCTCACTTTAGTGAAGTAGCTCAAGCAACATGCGCAGTGGGGGAATAATTTATTCTGTAGATAACTTTTGAGTATTCCAAGAGATGTTCAGCCCCAGTGCTGTCATATGTTTTGCTTGTTTTTGGGTTTAAAGGGAAATGGGGAGAAAGTTTCTGATAACCAGTAGGTGAGCAATGCCAACCCTCTTCCCCATTTTTTTCTTTTACATACTGGGAAAGAGGTGTGCTAGTGATAAATAAAATTTATAGACACGTTAGTAGACCACTGGTTACCTAGAAAAGGAAACTCTGTGCCGTTTCATTTAGCTACAAAATCCGTTCTTTCTTCCCAGTGAGTTTTGTCTTCAGGAAGACCAATAGAGCAAATGGAGTTCGCCAGACTTCTAACAAATTATTGAAAGAACATTGCAGAAGACATATTTTTAAAAGCATATTTTAATTAAATATTGTTAGTTTAGTAACAGATACATGAAATAAACATTTTCTTCCTTTGAAGGATCCAACACATGCCTGGAGTGGAGGTTTAGATCGACAGTTAAAAATGCATGATTTGAACACTGATCAAGGTAAACTAATTTTGAGATGTAATAAAGTCTGTTGAAATAGGATAAAACACACTGTTCTTCAATAACAAGGCTGCAAGCCTACACCCACATCCTGGGAGTAAGCCCTATTAATAGAATAAGTCTGTATAAGATTGTGCTGGAACAGGAAACAGAAAAATATTGAGCAGAAAATAGAAAGATATGGTTGGCTACATTTCTTCAGATATTGGTAGACATAATATTAAAGTAAAAACAAATAAATGTTTTCTTTTTCCTACAGTTGCAGAGGTTGATATTTACTATGCCATATGGTTTTGTCTGAGCAATCTTTGTGGTTCTATTTATTGCCATGATGTGCTCCTCTTTGTTTTATTTTGTGCATTTAATGCTTTATTAGTCAGTACACATTTTTAGTTTGCTAAAGAGGAAAAGGTTAGTACTTGGTAATAAGAATCTGGCTTTCTTTCTATCTAAATTTATAAAAGCACACGCAATGAATTGTTATTTATAAACAATCCTTTTATTTAACAGGAGAGGGTGAACGCTATCAATATTGTTTGTGTGATGTGTAGCATACAACTGTTTGTTTAGTTGTGACAGCGTCATTTATGCTTCTTTTTCTAGAAATGTATTTGTAGGCAATTTAGATTCCTAGGGTTTTATAATCTTGACTTTATTCAGGAAGGTGGGCGTAATCCTGCTTTCAAACTATCAGGAGCACTAAATTCATACCATCTCAGTATGTCCCCTAGTATCTGGAATATTCTTTAGCATTAATCCCAATCTTTTAAACTGCTTTTCAGGGTTCTTTGAGTTCAAAAAGATTTAATGTGGAACTTAAGAGGAAATAAGACGTATAGCCAAACACTTTTTCCCTATAAAAGTTTGCAAAATATTTAGATTTTAAAAAGTTCTTGGGGGTTGTGTGAGAGAAATTTGTTTCTTTTACCAGTCGCAAACTAGCCTCCTGCGGGAGCAAACTGTGTGAGCACGTCCTTGACGTCATAAGACTCTGCCTCTCTCTCCGCCCCTTTCTCCTCCTCTTTCTCCGTGCCAGAGTGGTTTTTCCTTTGCTAGGGCAGCATTGCCAGCGTATTCTCTCAGTTGAATTCTGCCAACTGAGAGAGTACGCTGGCAATGTTGCCCTAGCAAAGGAAAAACCTCTCTGGCACGGAGAAAGAGGCGGAGAAAGGGGCAGAGAGAGAGGCGCAGTCTCATGACGTCAAGGACGTGCTTGCACAGTTTGCTCCCGCAGGAGGCTAGTTTGCGACGGCTCTTACTTACATAATATAAAAGTGTGCTAGCATGCTATCTTTTCCTCATCCACAGATTTGCTTCAAAGATCAAAAATGTATGTTGTTGCTGGTACTGGGAAATAGTAGATAAATAGGTTATACAATGACTGGTGTGTTCTATGTGATGCAGTTCTTGAGGCTGATTTAGAAGCTACAGTTAAAGCAGGTTACAGCTCTCCTCCATATAAGCATTTATCACCTTTTCTAAAGGCCCTGTTTTAGTTGCATATGTACTCCTTGTCCATTTTCAAGGTTTGGGTATTAGCAATCTAGTAGCATGCCAGAAGAGCTGCTTAGATTTCCTTATAGGATGAGATTTGATGGCTGTGATATTGTCAAGGGTTTAAGAATTTTTCAGACTATGGGTTTCTTTAAAGATATTGGAGAATTGGGCTATTACTGTGGAGGAAAAAGCTATTTAAAATAACCAGTAGAGGATTAAAAGTCTAGTAATTTGTTTCTTTCCCAAGTTGAAGAAAGAAAGTAAGGTATTATGGGATAAGTATTCAATGTCACTTTAAAAGCTTCTAAAACAGTTTAATACTACATGGTACATAGATAAAATGAATGATGATGTGGAATGGAGGTTTTATTGACAATCTTTTGTTGAAAGTGGCTGATTACTCATAAGAGGAAAAGACATGAACTAATGTGGTCATGCCACATTCACCAATTATTAGATCTTTATAGCATGTCATTCATGGCTAGCATTTTCAGAGGAGTCCAGCAGAGTTAGGTGCACAAATCTCTTTTGTTTGCTTGAAAGTCTCTGCATGGGTACCAACTCTCTCCTTAAGCTTCTTTGAAATACTGAGTTGATATCTATTAGTCTACATTTAACACTTTAGAAGCGTATATCTATTGCAAAGATTAGAGGATCAAGCGTCCTTTGAAAGATGCCCCAGCGTGCACATACATTAGTGAGTGACACACAGGCCCTGTTACTGCTGTACGGATATTGCTGTTCTTTTCATTAAATTTGATTACCAATAAGACTAGCATAGCTATGTGTATTAATCCCCTTTTCATTTTAACAGAAAATCTTGTCGGCACTCATGATGCTGCTATCAGGTGTGTGGAATATTGTCCAGAGGTGAATGTAATGGTGACAGGAAGTTGGGACCAAACAGTCAAATTATGGGACCCCAGAACACCTTGTAATGCAGGAACATTTTCTCAGCCTGAAAAGGTTTGTACTTAAGCAATTTAGGTTGCAATTCTACACCTATGTGCTAAGTTTAAATTTTCTGGATAGAATGGAACTTCTCAGCAGTCATGAGTTTTTGCTGTCAGAATAACTTGATTGTGAAATACATTTTGATCAATTAAAGATTCATATCTTTCCGATTATTAACTGAACCAGTCAGGAAAAGATTTCATGAATGTGAAATTACAGGCATAAGTGTTTCCACCCCAGTTTAACAAGTATCAGTAAGCTCAAAAATCAGAACCAATTTAATTTTTGTTATCTTTGCTATTGGCCTAATTCTGATACAGTAGCAACCCATGTTTGGTTAGGAGCAGGAAAAGATGTAGAGTCTCCGTTTCCGATTAGTTCTCAGTTCTAATTTCTGCTCTATTTTGTATTGGCAGTCTCCAAGTGACGAAAAAGATAGGTAGGTAGAAATAATAATAATAATAATAATAATAATAATAATAATAATAATAATAATAATATAATAAACAACTATGCTATCCAAACTTGGCTTTGAATAGCATAGGGAAGGGTTAACACCCCTGTAGTGTTTTTTTGTTGTTGTCTGTGCCCTGGTTCAGAAGATTTCACTGCACTGTCTGTCCCTGTGATGATTGGATTTAGAAAAATTCGGCTTGTTGTGGAAACAAGGATTGGAGATAGAGCTTTAGTGGAGATGCTATTTCCCCATGGTAACACTTTCAAGAGTGAATTTTCCTTCTTAGGGGCAGATTTCTCTCACTTCCTGTTGTCTCACTCACATTCTTAACTATGAGTCATTTGTAATGGTATAGAATTATTAGAAGTTGAACCTTTTGTAAAAGGTGGCATAATTTGAGAGCACTAACCAGGTTTTAAGAGATAATCACTACTATGAAAGTTTATTGTCTGATAATGATTAATTTCTTAGTTTGTCTCATGTAGAGTGCTTTATGAAATTTAGGTTAAGATTCTGCACTGGACATGTAGCTATGATGTGGCTATGCTCCATTGTGTGATCCAAAGCCAAACTTACAATTTAAGCAGATGTACTGAAGGACAAAGCTCCAGCTCCTTTCCAGCACTGAGCAATGGTGTGACAAATGTTAGCGCACTCTTTTTCGTGCTATCACTTGCTAGTTGGAGGGGGCTGGAGCCATAATTCTTCAGGGTCCTACTCACTAGTTTTGCAGAACGGTGTCTCTCAGTATGGCTGCCTTAATTTTAAGATGGGTTTGAGGGCATTTGCAGTCATGGAGCCACAATTATAAATGTGATGCCAAACAGTTAAGGGTCATAAGCCTAATGGCAGCCTTTTTTTGTATTTTATGGAGAATTAAATCAAACAGTTTTCTGCATTTCTCTTGTGATGTGATAATGCAGGGGTGGGCTGCTTTGAGGGGGGGGGGGATTTCCTTCCTAAGAATCCCCTAGGAATCGTATAGATTATTGCCCCCCTCCCCCCAAACTAACCAGAAGTGGATGCATGTACACTTTTGATTAATTGTTCTCTGTATTTTTCCCAAGGTGTATACGTTGTCTGTGTCTGGTGACAGACTGATTGTGGGAACAGCTGGTCGGAGAGTTCTGGTGTGGGACTTAAGGAATATGGGTTATGTTCAACAGAGAAGAGAATCAAGCTTAAAATACCAGACCCGATGTATCAGAGCATTTCCTAACAAACAGGTATCCAAATTGTGCTGCAGAATTTCATTTTAATGCCATTTGAGGGAAAAATGATCTCTGTTGTATTTATCTTGAGATTTAGTCTTACTTGATCAGAAGTTTATTTTGGGTTTTTTGTTGACAGAATAAACCTATATATTATGTGTTTTCACGATATTTTGAGCTGCTAATATGGTTGAAAATTTATAGTAACTTTATTATTGTGTTAATTATGAAACTTACAGAGAGTTTTGAATTATGCAGGAACACTAGATTAGCATAGATGCTAGGTTCCAGGAAAACTCATGTTTTGTGAAATGCTATTATAGTTCTTACATAAAATTGTTTCCTTGGGAGTCCTTTCTGGGCCTGGCATGGCTCTCTTCCTGAACTTATCAAAGGTGCAAAGAGAATTAAGATCCGAATAAGAGAGTCTTTGTTTCATCATTCCCTTCCCTGAGGTACAATGTAATGTCTAATTTTATGTTCTTCCTGAGGTGGAGGAAAATGAAAACAAAAACTTTACACACTTTTCCTGATAGTAAATAGTGAGTTGTAGAATAGTAAGATGTAGAATTCATGCAGAGGAATTATTAATTGAACCCACATTTCTACTGATATTGTTTACAAGCAAAAATGTCTCACAGTAAGAATCATTTTGGATGTCTTTTCTCTCTTTAAAAGGCCTTGTATGCATACTCTTTGTTTTCATAAATGAGTTGTAATCTCAGAATTAGAATACATGTTTCTGTGTAAGGAGGGAATATTAGAGTACAATTAATAAAGTACAATTCATTTTAGAATCTTCTCTAAAGACATTTAATTTATATGAATCGCCAGGACTACAGTGCACTTGTGCATCTCAGTAAGTTAATGTGTGAGATATGTAATTGTTGTGTGTGATTTATCCATGTTGTATAATTACAGATATTTAAGAAAAAAAAGTATGATTTAGCCTTAGCAATAATTTTTATGTCCTGTAGGGCTATGTGCTAAGCTCTATAGAAGGCCGTGTTGCAGTTGAATATTTGGATCCAAGTCTGGAAGTGCAGAAGAAAAAATACGCTTTCAAATGCCATAGACTGAAGGAGAATAATATTGAACAGATATATCCAGTTAATGCCATTTCTTTCCACAATGTCCATAACACATTTGCTACAGGTAATATACAAAAATAATTGTCTTATTGTTGCCATTAACTGACATCTGATCTGATTCTTCAGTTACATTTTTCAACTTCATGTGAAAGGAACATTTCTCTTTTAACAAGTTCTTTTTAAATAACCCCACATTTATAATTTAATTATGGTCTGAAACATGAAGTTTCTACTTTATTTCTTCTTTGTAGTTGGCTTTCATATTAGTAACTCTGCTAAGTTGAGTTTGCAAGATTCTGTAGTAATTTAGACAAAATATCCAAATTCTTATCCTGCATTCATTATGTGGTCTGTTCTGTGAAGAAAATGCTTTGGATTTTACTGTGGTCTCTGTCCAGACTTAATGGTAAGAAATTACAGAAAAAGTGATGTTATATCCTAATCTTTATAAATCTATTTGTAGGTGGTTCTGATGGATTTGTCAATATTTGGGATCCATTTAATAAAAAGAGACTCTGCCAGTTCCACCGTTATCCTACCAGTATAGCATCGTTAGCCTTTAGCAATGATGGAACCACTCTGGCAATAGCGTCATCGTATATGTATGAAATGGATGACATTGAACATCCTGAAGATGGTATCTACATTCGCCAAGTGACAGATGCTGAAACAAAACCCAAGTGAGTATGCTTTGCCTGTATTTAAGGTTTTGTATCGTTAATTCCAGGATTTATTAATTTTCCTAATTCATGAATAGCATTATTGATTCATGGTAGATAGCGCTGTTTGACAGTAGGACTGGAGTTGATTTTATCTTGTTCCCCCAAGCTTTCAATATCCGTAGGTTGATAGACGACTGGTGGATAAAATTGTCTTCTTGTTTTGAAGCAGAAGAATGTCAAACTCTCATTCTTCTTGAATAGGCACTATTATATGAAGCCATAGTGCTATTACTAGCTCATTGCTTTAAAATTAAGTTGAAGAATTCTGAATAACTCCTATGGGCAAGTCTAATTATATTGGATCCTTAAGATTTCAAACTATTGGCAGTCTGTGCATGTAGGTTTCAGCTATGTGCAAAAATATGCAATGGCTAAACTGGATATAGGAATCATTTAAATTGCAAGAAAAGAATTTTAAAGCGATGTGTAGCTCTTTGATTATCAATGTTATGTTACATTTCCTGGCAAAGGAAAAATGGTTTTTTGTTGCCCAGAGCTAAAGAATCGAGGCTAAAGCTAGACGACTTGTAAATCCTTTCCTTTAGTCACACATACATTCAGTTTTGCCACTACATTGTATTGAAGTAGCAAGAAAATCTATGTGCCCATTGTGTTTAGAAGCTTTGTGTATTAGCTGTTCCCACTGCCACCCTGTCAGCCTGCTTACTAGTAGCATATGAGAGGTGGAGCAAATATGTTAGTAGAGTTGTATCTAAAGAAAAAAAAAACCTGGTCTTTTATTACATTATATATGTGCATATTAGTAAAATGGTAAGGACAAAAACATTGCAATGGAAAATCCTTTTATTGTGTAGGAGAGAAAGGGAGATACATCCATGTTGTCTCCAATTCAAACTTTTGTCTGAACTGCCCTTCTTTACCGTATGTATGAATGTATGTTGGGTGTTTCTTTTCATACTTGTAAAAGTAGCTTATGTGAAATTTGTGTAGATTGAACTTCCTCTGCAAGACAATTGTTGGAGGAAGAATGTATAATCTCAACACCTGGTGTAATACTGCTTATTAAAATGTGATTTTTGTGTCATGCAGTGTTTGCATAATGGTATTCCTTTTTTAGACACCACGGAAAGCAGTGGTTAATGCTCCTCGTATCCATTTAGCAAGTGTAGTCATTTGAGTAGCACATCAGACAAAATGGTACAGATATTCAGGGCCTTTGCGTGCAGAATAGTTTGTTCATAAACATTTCAAAATATGTATTTCTCATTTCTAAAGAGCCTTTACCTATGGCTGCTTAAAGTATTGAGTAAAAAACACAAATAAATAATTAGGATGCAGAGGAGCAACATGTTAGAGTTGGTTGTGATGGGATTTCTTCAATAAGTCCTGACAGAGGAGATCCTATCACAACCCTACTGTGCCAGAGCATTACAGAGCACCACACTTATGATGAATGTGCTTCAGAGGGTTTATGAACTAAATAATTTTAGGGCTTGACCATGTTCCTTCCCTAGCTGCAGAATTCCTTTTCTGTTAGCTGGACTTCTGCTAATTCCTTATGAATAGTACTTTTAGGGAAAAAATGTTGAATCCCACTACCTCGGTACTTTCAAAGGTCGTATCCTCACCTGCAGATTATTATTTTATTTGTTTTCCATGACTTGTTTGGTACAGGATGGAAGCTGACCTATAATAGATTGCTTATTGGTTGCTTCTATTCTCTCTTAGATTGCATTCAATCTATGTGGACAATATTTTATAATTATTTTCTGTAAATTTAACTTTAAGAAATACCGTACTCACAGAATAGGAATTTAAGGCAGAAGGTGAAGTCAGTTTTCCATTCCCCAACCCTCCATGGGCAGAATCATCTCAGTGTGCGAAAGTAACTTATTTTCCCATTTTTTCCAAAATAGTGACATGAAATGATTCACTTCTAGTTCTCATCTTCTTCAATGAGAAATGGAGTAAAAGGAAAGATATTTCAGAGAGGGTAGGGTTTGGGAGGGAGTTTCTTTTGACATGGATGCTTGCATTCAGTGGAACTTTGGGTGCATTTTGGGGTGATTTTAGACCAAAAATGCTACCAGCAAAATTTAGATTGGGGTAGGGTTCAGAGGACTTCACTGGGAAGCTTCATGGGTTGCCAAAGAGTGGTCCCTGAATTATACTTTTTTTACCCAAGTTATAAACAGTACTGTGTGCATCTTTTGAGTGGTATCACCTTGTTTCTTAACTCAAAGTGTTGTAGAACCATATAACAAGTTGGTCTGCTTTTGTTTTTGTGATTCCCTCAGATCTTCCCACCATATTTCATGTCAATAAAAGGAGATGTGTGATTCTGGAACCCTCTTAAGAGTAGCAATTGCCTTTTAAGACAAGGCACCCCCTTTATCTTCTCAAGCAGTATTCTAATAAAATCAGATCACATTCACTTTAGGCTTTGAGTTGTATATTTGACTTCCAATGAGGGAAAATTAATTATCCAGGTACTCTGAACTTTCTGACCTGTTATATAAGGAATTTCAGTATTTCAAATTCTTACAAACTAATACATATATTTTAATAATTTCTCTTATATTTGCAAGTTATAACATAATCTGAAATCTTAAATTAAACAACAAAAATACCCTAACTCTAACCTGAGCTTCCTTCCAGGCCTGGGCCTCCTTCTGGGCCAGGAAGTTACAATAGTATTGTAACTCATAATATCGTAACTCATAGTATCGTAACTCAAAACAACATAATACATATTTGATGTTAGTCCTTCCTGGAGCTTCAGTTTATATTTCAGATTTTTAGTCCATCATTTCCCTTTGTGCTTTTTTGGAAAACGTGAACCTTTTGGGCTGGTATGAGTTAAACATGTAAACATTTGGTCATGAAAATTCTTTGTATTTTTTTTTAAAAACTTGGATACATTTCTAATATTACATTTTTAATGGTGTGCTCCTGCAAATAGCTTGCATTAATGAGAACTGTAACATGGAAAATGGCCATCAGTGGATTGAAGACCTGACCGTATCATTTTGACTTCAGCTGTTTCTGTCCTTGTGTTGTGTTTGCTAATTATGGAGATGCTTCGTTCTGCTTTCTGAGGAGGTTAATCTACAATTAAACAATATTTCCTCTTGGCTGTCCATTATTTTCTGAAGCAGATGGTTCATCATTTCCTGGGCTGTTAAACACAGCAAGGTTAAGGTTAGACTCTTGGGAATTCGTTAGTTCAGAATCTTATTACAGGATGTAGGAGCAAAACTAATAAGAATAGTACTTAATATCATTTTGTGGTTGCAAACAATTATTTATTAGCAAACAATTGATCCCAGAAGGGCAAATTGTTTGAGTTGGTAATGAGCTGAGACAAGGCAGAGCATATCTGTGTATTTACAAACTAATTGTAACGTAATTGCAATGCATTTAGACAGGCATCTTTTTGGACTTGTTTCTGGCTTTAAATGGATTTCTGAAACATTAATATGCTTTTTGGACATGTTGCTTATGCCAGTCTTCTACCAGATGCTGAAATTCTTGTAGTAATCCATGGAAGCAATCATGTGTCATGTTGTAAATTGTTATAATTACGTTTTTTTTTACTCTTGACAAATTTGGAAATGCTAGAAAAGAGTAAACATCTCCGTAATGTATGAAGATCATCAAGTATATGAAAATTACTTGTTGGACACCTTGTTGTAGATTCTTTTGGAATGTTACAGAAATATAAACCTTTGTTTGAAATGTATTTCTTTATTTCCAGGTCTACTTAATCACTTACCAAAATGCGGCACTATCTTTCCCTCTCAAACGATGTCTCTACTGACAAGACTTGTTTAAAATAAATCCCTGGATTAAAGGAAGATCTGTTTCAGTATGATGTTTTCACTAAATTTATTGTTGGTGTAATAGTTTAGTGTACATTTATCACAGGTGAGGGATGTATGTTGATCCAGAAAATGTTGAACAACAATGTTCTTTCAGCCCTAACCAGCAGTGGGGGATGCAGTCAACAACATCTGGAGGACCACATGTTCCCCACCCTTGCTCTCTATATCATTATTTTAGCCTATGCTGGAACCAATGTTTTCTTCCCATGAATGAACTGTTTTGTAAAAAAAGCTTATTCCTTTGCAACCTTGCATTTTGTAGTTGAAATTTTGTACAGATTTAATAATTGTTTAACCGTTTGAATAAATAATATTTTGAAAACAAATATTGTTACTAGGACAGCAATGTGTTGTACATTTTCAGTGTCAGCTTTCATGGTGAAAACAACACCTTAATCTCATGTTTTGTCAGGCATGATCTATTCAATATAAAATTAATTCATCCTATTTCTCCAGTAATTCACTATTGTCACAATTTGCAGATTTAGAAAAGGGTCATGAAACTCTGCCAATCTCTCAATGTACTATACTCTACTAAGGTACAGAATTAGTTTGATTAGTTATTACAATATACTAATATATGGCTTTATATCATCTTGCACTAGAGCAGTGGTTCTCAACCTGTGGGTCCCAGGAGTGTTTTGGCCTTCGACTTGCAAAAATCCGAACACCTGGTAAACTGGATTTGAATTCTGGGAGTTTTAGGCCAAAACACCTGGGGACCCACAGGATGAGGACCACTGCACTAGAGGCATAAAGGAAAAGCTAAGTAAGAGTTGGTGGAGAAACTAAGGAAATACAGATTGTGAAGGAAAGAAAGAAGGCAGTCGTGTATGTGCAATACATTTAAATAGATTTAAGTAATAAAGCAGACCCTTACAAAGTCCGAATGGCAGATATATTGGAAACAATTGTATTTTTTTTAAATCGTAGAATGCAGAATGGGTATTGATCTATATATAATATGAAATGTTATCTGAACAATTAAGGCAAATTTCAATAGCTAAGGTTTTCTCTCTCAACATTCATGTGGGCACAATTTACAGACTGTAGCTGCGAGAATATTGGTGATACTAAACAAACAGGGAGCTGCATAGGTAATACAGTAAGACAGTCTGGCACGAGACAGAATGATAAACAGAATGAAGCAATACAACAATTGTGTTAGCGACTTGAGACAGGAACATATGCTGTAAAGACAGAGGCATTCCTTCTATGAGGAGGCAATTAATCTTCCTTTTATTAGCTCTTCTCTAGAAATATAGATAAAAGGCAAAGGTTTGGGAGCCAGAAGAAATCATATGCAATGAGCTTTCCTTCTCCCGTGTGAGAAATGGCTGGACAAAGAGGATATACAGACTCCTGATCAGTGTAATTGAGTTCTAAAAAGCTCCTTAAGTCATTGGTTGAGGGCCTTCCAGAGAAACATGGAGTCAGAGCCATCATCCTAATAGACTCATCTATCATCCTTGGCTGCATGCAAGAGTAAAAAGTCACGAGATGTCTCTCAGGAAGGGATTATGATGCTATAGTATTAAAAGCCAAATGGCACCTGTGCCCTTAAAGACAACAGTGCTATAGTTTTGACATGAGATGTAAATACTGTCTTGCTCAATTTGTGAGAATAATCTCTATAGTATATTCACTTAGTCAGTCTCACTGAATATACTGGAATTTATTTTTAAATAAGTATGCCTAGGATTGCCCTAAGAGCAGTATTCTAAGAACCCAATTTCTTTTATTCTAAGACACACTGCCCCCCTTCTCCCATATGAACATCTCTAAAGATAGGGTGCATCTTAGATTTGTGGGTGCTTTTTAATATATATTCTGTTAGTGGTACTGAAATTAGTGTGCGTCTTACCATCGATGGCGTCTTAGAATTGAAGAAATATGGTAGTTGAAATTTGTGCCAAACTAGACTCAGATTTAAAGGATCTTGGAATGTTTTAAAAATAAATAAACAAATACAAGGATTTTGTGAGCAAACATTGATATGCACATACTTTCAGACGGGGGTCTTATTGTGCAAGTGCTTTGACTCACAGAAATGCATGTGATGCCTGGATAGCACTAAAATTTGTATTTTCACTCATTTTAACACTAAAAGAAAGAAAGCAGTGGAACAATGATTGTTCAGATTATAAAAAAGTTGAAAATTATTGGATATTTTTCTTTTTATTAAATTATTTCCAATATCTTAGTTTTGGGGAAGAAACCCAATACTGCATGAAAAGCAGCCATTCCTCTTCCCTGGTTGTCGGCTGCTGCAGAAATGGGGTGACTCTGCAGAGCGGAAAAATAATTCTGCGTGAATTGTAACTATGCATTTTTCTACATATTTTAAAAGATGAAAGCTGCTGTTCCTTTTTTCAATTTCTAAGACACTTCTATTTGATACTATAAAGGAAGGGCGGGGAGGTAGTCCTCCACAAATCAAAGACACCAGGAAAAAACATCATTAAAAAGAGAATCTTTACTGCAGCATTTCTGACTAAATGGCTGCGCTGCACATTGCACTTTGTGGAGCTTCAGAAAATTGCACTGCTTACAGTCTGTCCAGCAGAGAAAAGGCATGTGTGTGTATTTGGGAAAGAAAGTACTGCATGTGTGAATACTTAGATTTTTTTAAAATAAATGTATTTAGATTGGAGTCCCCTGGTAGTATTGCCAAATGTTTAGATTAATTGTAATGTTTTTATATTATTCTGTCAAATGACTATCACTTAAGTCATAGCAGCCATGTTTAATATCCAATCTTCCCTTGAAACAGACTCAAGATAAAAATGGGTAACCGAATATTTTTTTTATGAAAAACAATCACGTTACAGTACTGAAACACACATGGAAAGAAATGTAAAACACATCTATAGAAATGCAAAAACAAAATGGGGCAGAATGCGTTAAATTCTGCAGCATACTTTGTGATGTGAATTGTAAGAATATTGTCCATGGCTGTCAGAGAAAGTCAGCTTTTTCTCTCTTTCAAGGCATCATTTCAAGACATGGAAAACTGCCACCTTGCCCATGGTCTAAAAGGGTGCTGGTGACTCTACAGTGTGTTTCTCCTAGCAAAGCAAATTGAGTAGGGAGCTGCCTGGCTCGAGAGCAGTACATATGGAAAAGCTCTTGGAGTCCTTGCGGACAAGTTAAACATGAGCCAACAATATGCGGTGGCAAAAAAAGCCAATGGGATTTTGGCCTGCATAAATAGGAGTATATTGTCTAGATCCAGGAAAGTCATGCTACCCCTCTATTCTGCCTTGGTCAGACCACACCAGGAATACTGTGTCCAATTCTGGGCACCAGAGCTGAAGGGAGATGTTGGCAGACTGGAATGTGTCCAGAGGAGGGCAACTCAAATGATCAATGGCCTGGAGAAAAAGACCTACGAGGAGTGCCTTGAAGAGCTGGATATGTTTAGCCTGCAGAAGAAGCCTGAGAGGAAACATGATGGCCATGTATAAATATGCGAGGGGAAGTCACAGGGAGGAGGGAGCAAGCTTGTTTTCTGCTGTCCTGGAGACTAGGACGCATAACAGTGTCTTCAAACTGCAGGAAAGGAGATTCCACGTGAACATTAGGAAGAACTTACTAATTCTGAGAGCTGCTTAGTAGTGGAACTCTGCCCCAGAGTGTGGTGGAGGCACCTTCTTTGGAGGCTCTTAAGCAGAGATTGGATAGCCATCTGTTGGAGGTGCTTTGAATGCAATTTTCCTGCTTCTTTCCTAGGGGTTGGACTGGATGGCCCTCGAGGTCTCTTCCAACTCTATTGATTCTAGGAGGCGATGCGATATAAATGATGACAATGATGATAATCATTTATTTATAGACCACCCTATCTCCCCGAGGGGACTCTGGGCAGTTTCCAATATGTATGGCAAACATTCAATGCCAAGAGGGGAAAAACATTCAAACAAATCACATCAGCATAAACCACATTAAACAATATAAAAGAAACCCAACTCTAAACTTAAAAAGACAAAGTAATCGACAGTAAAATCTTAAATAACCTATATGGATATGACAGCTAATAAAAATAACGAAAAACAGAAAGTTGGTGGGCAGGAAAAGAGTTTTAAAGATGGGATCAAATCCAACCTTAAAAACTCAGGCATAGGCACCGAGAACTGGGAAGCCTTGAGCGCTCCAGCTGGAGGTCAGCTGTGACCAGCAGTGCTGTAGAATTGGAAGAGGCACAAATGGAGGGCGAAAGAGAGAAATGTGCCAAGAGGAAGGTGCGTCAAGCTAACCCCGACTGGGACTGCCATCTGGAAAGCAATGCCCTCACTGCGGGAGAACATGGAGGTTGAGAATAGGGCTCCACAGTCACCTACGTACCCACCGCCAGGACACTGAACTTGGAGGCCAATCTTACTCGGACAACGAGTAAGTAAGTAAGTAAAGTAATAAAAAATCACATTAAAACAATTAAAACTATAGCTCAAGGTTTATAAAAAGATGACATGTTCAACAACCAGCGGGCTAAAGTCAGTTCCAATCTCTAGACAAGGTTTAACATATCTAGGTGTGAGTATAAGCACATTCGTCTTCCTCCTCCCCATAAGCCAAAGTGCACAGGTGGGTTTTCAGTCGTTTTTAAAAAAGCAAGGAGAGAGGAGAGCTTGAATCATGATTGGTGTAGTTCCCTGACTAAATGTGGCTTACAACAATAAAATGTATTATATAACAGTGTATCAAATTCAGCATTATAACATATTAAAAATGTGGGAAAATTAATAATACTTTGACTGGCTGCTGGATGAATTGATGTTTGTTGAATTTCTCCGAAGAGGGAATTTTGCAAATAAGGTACTGCCACACAGGAAGTTCTCCCTGGTCACCAGCTGCCTAACATGATGATTGTGGCACCTGAGCAGAAACTATTAAATACACAGATTGATGTTGCACCAGTCCTTCCTGGTACCTGACTCCTAAATCATAAGGGGCTGTTTATGTTTATAAATATTTATGTTTATAAATAGGCTTGAAGCTGGTAAAGTTCTTTCAGTACAGAAACACACTGAATGGTTGCAAACAAGAACCAGTACTTCGGGGGGGGGGGGGGGGTCATGAGGGGGGTGTCAGAGAGGTCACCAAAGACCATCAGAAAACACAATATTTTTCTGTCATGGGGGTTCTGTGTGGGAAGTTTGGCCCAATTCTATCATTGGTGGGGTTCAGAATGCTCTTTGATTGTAGGTGAATTATAAATTTTCTGTTAGTTATGGGAGTTCAATTCCATTATTGGTGGAGTTCAGAATGCTCTTTGATTGTAGGTGAACTTTAAATCCCAGCAACTACAACTCCCAAATGATAAAATCAA